TAACACATACGTAACTATGGAATTTAGTTTTCTCCTTGGAAGAGCTGCCTTGTTACATGTCAAAAAATAATTAATTTTATTATTTAACAATTTTTATTTTTATTTATTTTTCCGATCGGATGAAAGACTATACGATGAGTTACGCTGTATTGGAATCTGAAAATCTACCAGAAGTAATAAAACAGTAAGTGCAAAGTTCCTAAAACCGTTACTGCATTGAGTTGTCATAATAATAATAATTGGAAAATAAATAATAATAATGCACTCATAGCCCCCGCTCTAGGGAAACCCTGTATTGCAGGTGCCATGGACAGACACATAGACAACCACATATTACACCTAAACTCACGAGATAAATAAATGTAGGCCACACAAATACTCCTCCCGACCCTAGAATCGAACCCGGGACCTCTGCGTGTCAGGCCAGGATGGTAACCGTTCTGCATCAGCTGGTCATCGATTTGTATTGAAAATTAAAAAGTCTACGGGTGAAGATGTCTTAGAAATTCTACTCATTTATACTTAAACCGTTTACTTACAAAAAATCCTATCTACCTGTCAAAATTGTTCAAAGTCCAGAAACTTCAAATTACGTGTAAATCGTATTTGTAAATATAATATGCTTGATGGAAACCTATTTTCTACATATAATGAAATGTGTGTTAAGTCGTGTTTTTTGGTTTATGTAAGATAAACCACTTTTTTTGTACGCAGAAAACCGAAATTAACCACCTGCATAGCATTGGGGACCGTAACGTTGTTGTTGGTTGCAATATCTATCACCGTTGGTATTGTCATTGGTTACGCGTATTGCTACCTTGAACATCGAACCGGTTTCAGATCAGGTATGTATCAGCATCTCATAAAAGCGAAGGCTCCGCAAAGAAATGTTTAAAACATGGCGTTCCAATGTTCATTTTTTGTTTTAGCTTTGTCAGCTCCGATCATCATTCTTAAATATCAAGAAAACAACACGTTTCTGTTTAATCTTCCACCACCAAATTATAATAAATAATAATAACGCACACACTCAACATAGGCCGCACTAGGGAAACCCTGTGTCGCGGGTGCCAACGTCACACACATAGACAACCACAAATTACACCCAAACTCACGAGAGAAATAAATGTAGGCCATACAAATATTTCTACCGGCCCAGGAATCGAACCTGGGACCTCTGCGTGGCAGTCCAGCATGATAACCGTTCGGCCACGGAAGAAGTTAAATGTGCTTATATAAAAAGTAGACCCAATAAGTATGGTTATTATACTCCGACGACTGTGAAAACAAGTAACAATGTTGTAATCTATTATCGTAGCTAGAGATCTAGAAGTTTCTGGCTGGGGTTTGTGGGCTTAAACATAATTTCTATTCACAGATAATCTTACTGAAGCCAAGAGCATGCATAGTATCCATATATCTCACTTAGAATCCAACGAGCCCCAAGCTAACAGATCTATCAACGGGGCAATCATGTCCAGCTACCTGGTTTCCAGAATCTTGAGCTTCGGCCAAGCGATGCTTCAAGAAGAAATTTCTTTGCTGCCCTGGTCGCATCAGGAATCAATTATTTCTAATGTTGAAAAATAACTGTTTTGAGAATAAATTTGATTCAATTTTAGAGGTGCTCGTTCACTATTAAACTACCTAAGAAGTTGCCGTTCAAATTTTTATGTAATATTAATATATGTTGTATGTATGCAAATGATAAGAAATTTTACAATTTCTTTACGTCAATGGATTAGCGTACGATACTCTTTATTTCGAATTAGAACCATAAAATTTTTAAGTCGAAGTCAAATATTTGTTTTTTTACCTACAAATTTGGCAATATACAGTCGGTACACTCACTTATGTATCCACTATTTGTACTAAGTGCCATACAAATAGTGCATACTTAAGCGAGGGCACCTAAGCGCAGAGTGATCACTTTATTATTGTCTGTGCTTGTACAGATTGGGAATGAAATCTTTGTTGAGTTTTTCCATTGTATAGCAAATCGTCAATGTAGTGGGTACCCATAATACATATTACATTCACCAAACTACATTACTCAATGCATGTTGAATCTAATTAGTTTAGTTCCTTGTTGTGAATTCCTATCTCATGGCCAATTTTAATAGACCATGTCGGTCCTTTTGGACCAATTAATAATGATTAAAGACACGAAACACAAAGCTTAAACTAGAATGTTCGAGAATCAAGATGGAGCATAATAATTGTCTAATACAATTTAAAGTTAATTGTTGATAAACATTCACGAGGTTGCATAATTTTAATTGATCATTTGAAAATATGTATTTCAGCGAACTACATGAGAGTATCTATCTGTGAATATTAGTGGAAATAAAAATTATATCACCATTTCAATGTGAGATATCGGTAGGTATAATTATAGAATGAATAGATACCTCTTCATTGCACTTAATTCGGTCAGCCTTATTACTAAACATTTATATCGTTCATACGAACTTAAAAGACGTAAATTATAAAAGTTCATTTGTTCGCACACATCTAGTGGCGCATCCACACATGCCCGGCGGCATGGCCGGCGGCCGTGCCGCCGGCATTTGCCGCATCTCAGCCGCGACACGCGCGGCTTTTGGTTGCCGGCGGCAGTTTGCTTGCGGCTTCGATACGGAGTGGTAGTGTAGTCGTATTCATATATAACATAATTTAACAACACTACTGCGAAAATTGCAACCGCATCTGCAGGCCGCCGGTAAAGCCGGCGGCCTGCATTCAGCGGCAAGGCGGTCTGAAACCCGGCGGCATGTGTGGATGCGCCATAGGGCATGCAAAAACTGAGTGATTTTGAAAACCAGTTTTTTCGGTTAAATCTCGGTTAACCGGTTACATGGTTTTTTCGGACATTTTCCTACTGTCACCCAAATAATTTAAGTGTCAGAAAAGTAAATAAACATCAAGTTATTATTTTGTAAATTATTTTGCTTAATTTTTATAGAATTCACAGCTAATGGGATCAATTACGTCTCGAATTATAATTAAAAAAAAACAAATCAACAAAAATACCAGTAACCTAAAATAAATATAAAATATATTTTAGAGACAAGCAATTAAACATCTTCTTTTTCAGTCTGATTTTCTGTTCAAGATGTTCCAACACCTGAGTGAGAAGTCTGATGGTTCTCATCATAGGTACCCAGCGGCACAGCTAGTTATTCTGGGGAATGAAAGAATGATTGCGTCCTTACCAAATGACCTAATTATGCTAGGAGAGTGACGCGCGTTGACGGTAAGCCTTTCCATAAGTATATGTGACACATATATGTGGTAAGCATGTGTGACACATCACAACAAATAACAATGTAATAGATTTTGTATATTACAATTCGTACCCTTGATATAATAAAGCCACATATGATCATACGTCAAAAGTGCTTTTATCACATGAAAGCGATAAAAAATTCGATCTGCATGAAACAAAATTATATACAATATGTGAAATTGTAAACTCTCCTACTTGAACATAAAAAAGTTGACCAATTTTCCTTAACAATAAAACTGAAACAAATAAGATACAAATAATCAGACTACAGAGTATTAATAAAACCGACCTCAAAAGTCATTCATCCCCTAGTTTGCCACCCTTAGAGGTGGAATGTTTTCTTTAAATTCAAATGGGACCACTTCTGGGGTACCCTCTTTCCAACAAAAAGAATCATCAAAATCGGTTCACAAAGAGTTACAGCGTAACATCTATCATCCACAGTCGAATTCCTCCTCCTTTTTTCAAGTCGGTTAAAAAACAATTAGAGGGGGTTGTAGATCTCGTTTCGCTGATCCCTAATATGTTAACAACTCGATTTCGCTAAAAATATCATTTACGTTAGTTATACTGACGACTTCGATGTGGAGGTCTCGAGTAGAGTACATTACGACTCGATTTTTAAGATCGATTTTTTTTTATTTAAAGAGCTTTGTCACAAAATGCGACAACGCCGCTCTATACATATAATTATATAATAAAGTGGAGAGAGAATTGAAGCAGCTTATAGTTGCCTTAACCGCAATGAACATTTGAGGAAAGGCCAAGACGCTGTTGCATCCGCCGACATGTCTAAATTGGTCATCTACAGCTACATTAAATCTAAGAGAATTGTTTCGTTCACACTCCATCAGTATGATGATATACGTTCTTATTCACGTCACGTACAGCACAGTTTGGTGACTCTGTTTTCTTCATCATATACGCAAACTTATTCAATGGCATGTGTTCGGAGTGAAAGAAGATCGATTCAAGTGTAAACGCGCGCCTGTGTAAAAGCGATTTTATGTATAGATTCATTTCAATCGATTCAACATTAAGGCGAATCGAATATTCTGAATCGTATTCATAATTTAAACAAAACAACCTCTTTCTGAACCCCTATTTTACATGAGCCTGCAAGAAAAGCAGTTTGGCAACATATAAGTACAATAAGATTACAATATTTAGGATTTTCGCTTCTGTGCCACCTGAAAGTCTTTTATTGCTAGTTACTATCACTTTAAATGAAAGTCGTAACCGTCTGAAGCCAAAAAGGCTGTCAAATTATTTATTTTTATCGAAATTTATTTTGAAACGAGTTTTATGAAACCGATTCAAGAGCATACGATCCGATCTGTGGATCGATTCAGAGGCATATGATTTATTACGAACCAAAAAATTTATTCAAAGCAAAAAATCCTACGTCTCGAGTTCCATTTCGATTCCCGGTAGGACCAACATGGAAACTGAACTTTTGTAAACTGCTTCTGGTCAGGGTATTCTGGGTAGTGCCTCGGAGTGAATTCCTTAGTTTAAGGGCAAGGTTCCGGGCAATTGGTGTGGTTGTCTGTATTTATAACTTGTAAAGGTACGTACGTAAAGGCACTATTACGTTTACGAAGCTTAAGAGAAAATACGTAATGTAGTATTAATAATCGACTTATTCATAAATGTTTACAAAAGAGGGAATAAAATTGCAGGCGACCGTTAGTTTTAATTTATTCTCGAGGTTGAAATAATATTTAAAATTATTATAATTATAACACTTATATACAACAACTTGCATTGTTTAGTTGCATGCTACACCAACAGTTTATACAATACTGAAATAATAGGTTTCTGTCATTTAAAACTATATACAGAATTAATCAAGAAATCCATTAAAGTTTTGTATTTCACAATGTAATTAAATATTGGTTACAATACATGCAATCAGGGCAACTAGTGCAACGTATGAGCACGGCAATAATATGAAATTTTGTGTCCTGTACTGCATTTTACCTGAAATTATGTGTCATTATTATTAATACAAAGATCAAACACGAAGAAAAATTCCTTGATCGAACAATAAAAAGAATTGCGCCTTCATCATGCCGTGGCAGGCCTTCCCAACTGAGCTGCAGAACGACTTAACGAATTTTTATATGTTGTGTTTGTTGCAGATCTTTTTTTTGTTTTTAACGACGCTTTTTGTCATAGCGCCATCTGTGGGAAATCTACGAAAGTTTTTCTTCACTCAGCCAAGTAACTTTACATCTACCAGTGGTTAACTAGAGAAGTCATTTTAATTCACAAAACAATCAAAGTTAATATTATTGGCCTTTTTGATTTTCGATAATGGCAACTATCTTTACCAGGTATTATGTTAAGACTTTTCAAATTTTATTGGCATTTTGTTTGTGGTACCGACCTTTAGGACAATGTGCTCCATACGAACAAAATTTTGACTGACTTGTATTGGATATCTAATCAAACATTAATGAATGATATTTTGTAGACATGACCAACAGGGCCCCAATTTACGCTAACTTTAAAGTATACTTTCTGTTGTGAGAAACTACATTCAGCCGCGCGGTCCGTTTCTTAACTGTCTTCTAGAGTCTTAACTGAATAATCAAGGACGGTATTAAAATACTCCAAATTGCTCTAAAACCTGTACCTATAACACAGGAGTCAATTTTCAATGAGAACCCAGTTTATGTACAGTCGATGCCACGGAAGAAAAAACAATGGAAATGTCTTAAGCCTCGATTACTATCAGAATCGCTGTCGCCAAAACTCACACTATCCTATATTATACGTGGGGAGCACTATAAGTTTACGGAATGAATAAGAAAAAAATACTATAAACGGTCAGAAATGAATTTATTGTTTCTCAAAATATTCTCCGTTAGCGTTAATGCACTTTTTCATACGAATGAACCAATTTTGAAAACATTTTGGCCACTCTTCCGTGACAATCTCTGAAACATATTTTTCATACTCTTCGACAGCTTCTTCGGGTGATGAAAATCCGTATGCAATGACCGTAACTGGTTCTTAATTTTAGGAAATAAATAAAAGTCACAAGGTGTCAGGTTGGGACTGTACGCGGGATGGCTCATAATGTCAACGTTGTTCACCTTCAAAAATTCATTTGTCTGTCTGGCCGTGTGAGAACTGGCATTATCGTGCTGCAAGATGATACGGCGTTTACAGTTATTTTTACGGAGTTTGTCAATAACTTCCGTCAAACAAATGGTCGTGTACCAATCACTATTCACGGTACAACGATTCTCCAAGGCAACAGTAGCCACGTGTTCAGTTTTATTAAAAAAAGAAGCAATCATCCGCTTAGAGGCACTTTGCACGCGCGCCACTTTGGTTGGTTTCGGCTTATCTCGAAAGACCCATACGCTCGATTGCTGCTTTGTTTTGGGATCGTAACTATAAATCCATGTTTCGTCACGTGTTACTATATCTCACACCAAATTAGACGCCCCTTTGTTGAATCTTGTAAACATGGCATTGCACCAAGTGACGCGATCCGTTTTTTGGGCCTCAGTCAAATTGTGTGGGATCCACCGGAGCACAGCTTTTTCACACTAAAATGTTTGTGTAGTATTGTTTTTGACTCATGCCTATGCCTAAAGAAGCCCGAATCTCATAGTATGTCACATGCCTGTCTGTTTTGATTATACGACGCACAGTATCGATATTTTTCTTGTTCACAGCAGTGGACGGGCGACCATCACGAAATTCGTCACTGAGATTTACACGACCGCGTTTGAATTCTGGAAACCAGCTATAAATAGTCATCTTGCATGGTGCTTCATTGCCAAAAACAGTTTGAAGCCGAGCGAATTTCCGCTGAGCTGTTAAATTACACGTAAAGTCGTAGAAAATCATACTACGAAAATTTTCACGAGTTAAATCCATGGTGATGTAGACAACCAATTTCTAATATGAATTGCGGCGTCATTTTAGAAATTGGTAGAAACAAGTGGCAGTCAGATGAAACAAACAGCCAAAGAGTTCCATTTTTAAATGTTGTAATTACTTTTTAAATATTGTTTATGTACGTGGCCAGTTCCGGAAACTTATAGTGCGCCCTATGTACACTATGAAATCTTGATAATGATTGGTCGTAGTTTCTAATTTAAAAAGATGTAACAATTTCTGGACCGTTAATAATAATAAGTGTTAATTTAAATTGTACCCTGTTGGCAAGTTATGATTTTTTATTTTTTATTGCAATTTCAATCAATGTGCTGCCGTCTAGCGGTCAATGGTTGAACGACGGTGAATTCGAGATGTTCACTTAGTTCTCCAAAAGAAGCAACCTCAAAAAAAAATTATTACGGTAAACGGAAAAATCAAAAATTTAATAAAATTAAATATAATAAGGGTTAACCATGATATGAAACACCACCATGGATAATATTACAAGTGCGATTATCGTTATTGCTCTCCTAAGTAACAAAATAAGGCATTTTCCCACGATTTTGCGAGATATAATTGGAGGTTTTGCGAGATATAATTGACACGACCATAAAGTACAAAGCAAAACTGGCAGACTGAGCTCGAGTATGTGAAACTCCACGTACTGTTGGCGCACATGTCACGGCCATAAATCGTTCATTGATCTTTAGTTACATTACATAAATACAAATTTCAATCAAAAAGCTGGAATACTTTTAAACTTTTCTGTTAAATACGTAAAAAGGCTCTCCGAACCAAAAGGTCTGCTAGTGGGTCAAGTATCTTAGGACATCGACAGTACATCCAGGTGTAGTCAACCATACTTTGTATGACTACACTCAGCAGACCCCATGAGAATGCCTGCGGAATCCAAAGGAGAGGAATATTTTCGTTCAGCTCTGTGAAAGTGTATAGATAACACACCTTATAAAACTTGAACATACATGATACAAGATATTTGAATTGGATGTTCGATACAATGCGGTTGTTTTTCATAATAAGTCGAACAATGGGAGCGGTGTATTCTACAAACATTGCCTTTAACATTTTATACATAAGGGTTCCGAATATAATAAAGACCAGGTTGTATGTAACATAAAAAGGTTAGAGTCTTTAAATAACAAATGTCAGTTAAAAATAAACATTTGAAGAAATAAATATTACCAAATAGTCCTAAAAATTCTTATGTAACCTAAAATTATGAGATCGCAAATTTGGCGTGTTTTTATTATTAGCAAGCAAGTTCCTACAAATACTAAAAAAACCATATTAGGAACACTAGTATATTTTTAGACTAAGGCCTTTAAGGAATTTGTTGCGTAAGTGATCGGCGTCGGCACCGCATGGGTCTGAGATCCCTGGAATTTTGTCACACTTGCACCATTATTACGCATCAAAGAAATATCCCAAAATTTTTATAATGCGTTAAGTTCCCAAACCGTCACACGCTGCAATACAGGTAAGGGCCTGATAAATCACTTACAAAAAATTCAAATACAAATAAGCAAGTGCGTACTCGTAAAAACGCCATTTACGTTTGGCGATCAACTTACACGTGATGATAAGATTACACACGTGTTGCTCTCAGAAACGCGTACCTACAGACTTTACTATTAATAGTTTGTTAATTACGAATGCAGGTCGTTAGGACAAATTGATTTGATATAAATATAATGAACAGACAGGCGAACACTTGCGTAGAATGCTGTGAATAGAGGATGAATAATCTCAGTACAGAGTACTAATAAAACCGACTTCAAAAGTCATTCATCCCCTAGTTTGCCACCCTTAGTATTCCACATATTTTCTTAACATTTCAATGGAACCACTACTGGCGTACCCTCTTTCCAACAAAAAAGAATCATCAAAATCGGTTCACAAGTTATCGCGCTCTGACAATAAGTGTAGGTACCTACCTATAAACTAAAAATGTAGGTACCGATATTCTAAATCTATGGGTTAGGATCATTGACTTTATGGTTAGAATGACAACTTCTTTCATATCACAGTAGAGCCTTCACTTATTTTAAGTATGATATTTATTTATACTTTTAATTGTAATTTCTCAGATATAATTCTATTGTGGGACGAGCTTTATGTTAAAAATGTTGTTACTATGCGACGTGAGTCGTTTGTTCGTAGGATAGTGGTTGTAATTTTTTCATCCATTCCGCTGAACCCTAAAGAGGATGAGTAAAAAAACTTAATTGTGTGCTCCTGCGCACCGGTTCTGCCTGATCGAGTCATCCGTCTGCCGCCGGCGCGCGAGCACCATTCGGTTCCAACGAAATCATTATTCAGAAATCGATTTTTACTATTCAACTTTTTACTATTATACTTTAAATCATTTTTACACACTGCAGTGCGTCGTTACATGCGGTTAGTTTTCAATAAATTTGATATATAATTTGAAAAATTTAGTGATATTGTTGACGAGAATAGGCCAAGTTATGGTGAAAGTAGTTGTGTGATTAGTGTTGTGTGAATAGATTGAGTGTATGACAGGTAGACGCAAAGAATTAAAAGGTGCGTGTCGTGTCTACTGATAAGCAAAAGTAAGTAGTTTTCTCGCGCTAACTTGCTAGTTGTGATAATCTGATAACCGAAAAATCCTTGTATTAAAACTTTTAATATATATAGTTCTAAGACTTGAGTTTACGGATATTGGGATTGAACCCCAGACATTGTATGAAATAGGAAAAAATAAAAATATATACTTTAATCCATAACATACTTTAAAAAATCCAGAAAAAATGGCGACATAAATGGCATTGTATTAAGCTATATTATAGCTTAATTCAATACTAATTATATCGCCAAATGTGGAATTTTAATGTTTATTTTTCTGCATTTGTTATAACTTAATTCAGTGTCATTAATGTCGCCAATTCTTAATACTTTCACAGCACTAAAAATGGTACAAAACATCCAGGAAAACCAGTCCAAATATTAAAATTAACTTTTTTTGGAAATAGAAAAGAGTCATCGGATAGTAATGAGAAAGTTTGTTTACGTATTAATAATTAAGGTTCACACCGCAAAGAACTGATCCATGTCATGAGCACTTTTACCTTGTTTTGCGAATTTTTAAAGGATCAATTACAACATTATTTATTTCTTACTTTAGTTCTAACGATGAATCATTCATTCATGATTTAATTTTAATTTAAATTCATTATTTAAAATTGTTGCTGCAATCATTGTGTTTGATACGCTCAGATCATCGAGTATATATCTGGTTATATACTCGATGGCTCAGTTGGATACGAATTAATTATCATCTTAAGCAAATAGTTGACATCAAACATTATTTTCAAGACAAACAATACCTAAGTATTTTAAATAGAAAACTACAGTGAGATTCGGACATATGAACTAAACTAACGGACAATTCACGAGTTTTTGTGAAAGTTTTGCTCGATATCGTTAGAACTAGCCCGTAGTCTGACCGAAGTATTTTACAAATTCAGTATAATTGAATGGAATAACTAAATGTTACATTTCATCGCAATCATTTACTTTCGTTACGAATTTGAAGTCTTAACAGTTGTATAACAAAATAAAATAAATAACAATGTTACTGCACAGAATATGTACATCTCGGAACATTTGTTCCATGAACAAATTATTTTTATTATCTTACCTAATTTACCCACTACTCACGTAATATTTAACAGGTGACGCAAACAATAAATATTGGTCGATAAATTCAGGTAAAGACTTCTACTTTTATTTATTCACTCGTACGAGTAATCCAATGGGCAAACGGTGATAATTTAAGGTTGTAGTTTATATTATGTCTGGCCTGCAACGCCATGTACGGACAACGGGACGTCTTCTTACACTTCATATTTAAATTGAACTTTATGCCACTTACGGTAAGATAGTACATAGTCCAAAGCAAAGTCCAAATCTGATTTCATAAGTGATACCATTAAAGATTTTTTCACTCAGAGCTTTAAATCGCAAGTATCAGAGGAGCAGTTAAAAGTTTCATGTGCTTGTGATTTCGGCAGCACTCTTATCCTTTAAAACCGAAACGCAGTACTGATCACATTACTGCTTGTCGGCAGAAATGGTATGGTGGCAGCACTTCCCTAGGCAAACTCTTTCACAAAGCTGCTACTACATTGCTCTGATTCCAAAGTAAGAAATTAAAGTACTTGTGTTATGCAAATCGGAAACGACGACGGTATTACAGACACCGAAACTCGAAGGAATTTAGAAAATTTTGTTTCTACATTGACTCAGTCTTGGATCGAATCTGGAACCTCAGAAATGGTTACACAATAAAAACCGGTGTCGTCAAAAAGGTACCCATTAAATTGATTTCTTTGAATAGGTCTATTTATATTATTTGATTACTTCGACCTTACTATTACCTATTACAATTTCTCAGGTGGCAACGTATTGTTTTATTGAAGTGCATCTTGTGATTACCTTCATATGGCATTATTTTAATCCGCAGTTCCGGCTTCAATAATTCCATTATTAATTATACTTATGTCTATATACAGATGCAAACCATAATCTTAAGATCTTATCCTTGAAGCTATCTCAAGTTTTACAGCGATCTTGGTGGTTCTTGAAAACCATTGGCAATTAATAAACATTTCTTAAGATGGTCTTATTATATTGGTGATAAAGTCATCTCGCATGAGAACAAGAACTGTGTCAAATACTTCCAAATATAAAACATGCTCTAACATTATGATTCATACGATACGGGGATTTTGTTAAAACAAATAACCAATTACCTCTCAGTAAATAGCATAATTACGTATTCTCTAACCGCATATAAAAACTGTTACCTACAACTACAATAAGGAAAAATAATTTCGAATTCAACTTTTATAACATCTTCGTTTATTCCTACACGTGCGTGTGCAACAGATAAACATTTACAGCAAAAAAATATATTCAGTTAATAGTGTCTGGTGGGTAACTGAAGATCTTCAAGACGATTACAATTTTCAAAGTCATACAAGTCAAGTGAATGGCAAATTTCTCCACCGCAGAAGTGGTCGTTGTGGTTGACCGAGCAATTAATAAGCTATTCTAGGTAGTAAAATTTTCGTCCTTCTTGACAGGCTAAGGCGTCTAATCCATATTACCAATAACCTGTCGAAAACTCTGACAGTCGTATCACGTCATATTCTGAATGATGATAATTTTTTGATTCCACTATTACGCAAATACAGAAATTTATTACACAAATAATCTAAAATGCACGTACGTTCACCATACAGGGTGCCAAGTTGCTACAGCCGTATACACTTAAAAATTTTGAGTTAACCAATGAAATAATAAAAAAACATAATTAAAAATGTAAAATTACAGCAATAATAATTTTTTTTAGTCGTTACACTTTTCATAAAAAAATATTTTTTAGTTTATTACGATTGAGTTTCTTTAATTATTTGTTACTTGTTTAAACTGACAGCTCTATAGCCAATACTCAATATAATAAAAATATAAGCAACAATAAATTAAAGAGAGAGATGACTCTATAATATTTATTAAAGCATTACCTCTCTCTAAAAAGTCCTGTTAGTCTAAGTCTGACAAAATCTGTGAAATCTTGGAATTGTTACATTAAGTGTACAGTTTATATAACGTTTTAAGATTGTAATGTTTTAAGATTGTTATTTTTTATTACTTACTTTTATCGTAGTTTTACCTTGTAAACAGAGCTCAATAAAAAACAAAAAGTAAAAACGCTACTTTTGACACTCTCAATTGCAAACATATGACTTAGCGATAAATGCTTAATCAGTCCCGAAGGACGAAAAATTTGCTGATTTTTATTAAAAAATCAGTAACTTACAATGCCTACTATTAGAGGTTATTGTTCTTTGTTTTATGTATTACCTATAGAGCGTCCGCTGTATTTTTTTTTTTAATTTGAGATGAAAAACTATTTACGACAAACGACTCTGAAATTACCACTCACCCTCTTGTAATAATCTGATTAGCTAATAGTAACAAAAATAATCAATTGTAAAAAACGTTGTAAATAACGTGTACACCATGTGTAAATTCACTCGTTATTTTTCGGAAATCCATGGTAATAAAAAAGAAATAATTTACTTTGCAACTCCGCGAATCCAGGCCTAATTACTTTCATTTTCAAAAACAGTTGTAATTACATACAAACAGTTTGTAGTAATAAAAAGGTTTAAATCAATTTTTAAGCTCCTTACATTGTAAGTACTCAACAGTACGCTTCGAAAGGTCACCCAAGACCTATAATTATATAAATCCAAGTTAAACGACTACAGCTACGGCTTTAAAAATATAATACACTTTGTTACCAAACTGTAAAGAATATTTCGCGTAATGATACCATCATACAACGGAACTACTTTTTTGTGATATCTTGTGGGCATTTAGTTCAAGGCTGTTGACTCATGATTTTGATAATAAAGATTTTTTATTGTTTATTTTAATGCCGATGAATACTAAACATCACAAAAAGACTTACCCACTAATATGTATAGGACATATGTATAGGACTAGCTAACAAGTATACCCGCAGAAGGTGATTCCAATTCATAAATACGAACAAGTATTAATTACAATGGGCATCCCTTTAAAGTTTTTTCATATACATAATTTCTTGTTCCACAACAATTATGTATATGATGAATTACACGGTAAACCACTAATTATTTCACGTGGTTTCTGAGGGATACCCTCGAAAAGTTACACACTTAAAATCGGAGAAATGATAATGATAAATTCATGAAAAAAATTTATTTTATTAACTGCCTCCGCGGCCGAACAGCTACCATGCCGGACTGCCACGCAGAGGTCCCAGGTGCGATTCTCGGACCGGGAGAAATATTTGTATGGCCTACATTTATTTCTCTCGTGAGTTTGGCTATGGTTTGGCTATAATTTGTGGTTGTCTATGTGTGTGTCTATGGCACCCGCGACACTGGGTTTCCCTAGTGCGGGGCTATATTGTTGAGTGTGGGCGTTATCAAATTTATATGCAGTAAGTGTGGTTTACAGAGAAGTAATATACATACTTATAATAAAAGATTCTCACACCTAGCTGGTCACATCATGCAAATTTATATTAAATTTAATATTACTGTTTATGAAATTAAAATATTTTAACTATCACTTTACATTTTACATATCTACAACATATTTTTAAGGTTAAAGTATTCTTGAACGGATTATAAGCAATAGTCAGACAACCATGGGATAACCTAATAAAATTAAAACAACCGACAACAAAACCGACTCGTGTAGCCAAAATATATCTCAAAGTATGTCGAGAGAAAACTGCCTTGAATCGGAGAAATAGCAAAATCAACCATTAAAGTAATTGCTCCTAAATTAAAGTTAGGCGCTATTTATAAAAATGAATCTTCATGCGAACAGCCACCCTTCAAAGTGGATGATTTTCTTCAAAATGAAATGGGACCACTATGGAAGTACCCCCTTTCCAACAAAAAATGAATCATGAAAATCGGTTCACAAATACCGGAGTTATCGCGTAACATACATACAAAAAAAAAAGAAAAAAAAAAGAACATACAGT